TGTATGAGAAAACCAAGTTTTGAGAAGTCAACCAAGGTCGCTTTACGCAAGAGGCCTTACTTTTGATTTGTTTTCCTTTTGTTTTCTTTTGTGGTCACATGTGACTAAGTTTGTATATTACCTTGGTTTTTGTTAAAATTGACTTTGGAATGATCTTGAACTTATATATGTATATACTCTAGATGTTTGTATGGTGTGAGTCATTACATATATAAGAAAAGTTTTTGTTAAGCCATGTCTGCACAACTCATAGGACAAGTTTTGCAAGTTCTGCTTCCGCATTTTGGCTCTCTATTATTAACTATGACTTGATTTCTGTCTGAGACCGTAGGTAATCTTATAATTATTGGCCGGTTATGATTTTAATCCATAAGGGGGGTTCGGGTCATGACATGAAGACTCATTTATTTTTGTTTTGTTAATGTTATTGAACAAGCCTAGGGCTTTTATTTGTATTTTGTTAATGTCTGTTGAACAAGCTTAGGGTTTTTTATTTGTATTGGGTTTGACTTACTTTTGTTATAACTAAGTATCGTCTTGGAAATATGTAGCTACTAGGGCATAAACTTGTCTTCATTTCTTTTCGTTTTTATGTACATATGTCACATGCTATAAATTCATATCTTAGGGTCAATGAATGTATTAATGCATGTGACACCATCTTTTGCAACACGTTAAAGTAATCAATGAATGGATGGCAATTCGGATAATGAATCTTTTATTGAATGATTGAATCCTATCAGCTTCTACATATCCGTTAAGTATAACAAGGGCACCTGTTGAGAGTTATGAGTGTATCTATTGTTATTATTTTGCGGTGTTACATTAAATAATAATAATAATAATAATAACAACAAAACTTTTAAAATGTCACTAGTAATTGCACTTTTAGGGAGAAAACAACCACATGCAAAAAAATGTGACTTTTTTAAATAGAAATTTTGATCCAAAATGATAGTAATTCATTGTCAAATGCCAAATTTCATCCATAAAAATAATTTTATCTTAAATTTTTATCTCTAAAATTTTAAATTATTGTAGTATGAGGCTATAAATATATATATATATATATATTCATTAATTATGGCAAGTCATTTTTTTTTGATCAGCAAAGAGAAATTTCATTTAATAGCATGAAATTAAAGGTACAGGAAGATGATATGCATCGAGAGAGATTCAGAAGTATAAAAATACCCCTACTACTGCTACTCGCAACTATACAACCAACCCCTAAGCCTCTCGATTATGGCAAGTCATTTACACCTACTTGTGTTTAATTCTATCTAATTGTTGGGTCACTAAGTTTATGCTCAGTTGACCCTGGGCAATAGCCTTGGTGGTCGTCGAGAGGACACTTAAGTGTTAAGGTGATTAAGGTTTTAGGTTTGAGGAAATTAAAATGAATTTAATCTGCTTACCCTCATAAAGAAAGTCCAAGCATAGTGTTTTTATTTGATATTCAGGACATCTATCAAATAAGTTGATATTAGGCTTACTTACGTATTGATATGGAGAGATGGAAAAGCAGATTGAAAGCTTCTAGAACAGATTCAAGGAGGCTGGATCAAGGAGGCTGGATCCCAGTGCTGAAGCATAGAGGAAAAACAGAAACACGGCGGAACATGGTTAGCTCGGAAGACTTTACAGTTTTTGTGGATAATCTACCTTGCTCAATGGATCCCAAAGGTCTGTCTAATCTCTTTCGGAAGTTTGGTGTTGTAAAAGATGTATTCATACCGCAAAAGAGAAGAAGAATCACCAACACAAGATTTGGCTTTGTAAGATTTAGTTGTGAAGTAGCAGCGAAGGTGGCAGTGCAAAAAGCTCATGGTCTTTGGGTGGATGATAAAAAGTTAGGAGTGAAATTTGCTGAGTTTGAAAGAAACAGAGAGCAGGGGCAGACTCATATTCAACCACCAAAGCAATCAAAATACAGAGCAGAGGTTAGGAGAGGTCCCAATCCTGTTATTAATAAGAAGTCTTTTGCGGAAGTAGTAAAAGGCACTAAGGTACTGAGTAGTGGCTCTGTTTCAATCAAGGCGGAGGTGTCTGGTAATGGGTGGCTCTATGATAGTGTGGTAGTTCGCTTGAAAGCCAGATACGTTAACATCAGTCTGCAGATTGAGCTTGAAGAAAGAGGAATAGAAGGGATTGCAGTTCGGAATTGTGGAGGCAGAGATGTTTTGTTATCATTTAAGACCAAGGAGGAAAGGGAGATAAAAATGAAAGCCATAAACAACATCATTGAGGATTGGTGTGAACTCATCATCCAATGGCAGCCAAACCTTGTCCTCGAACCAGAAAGGCTCGTTTGGATTACCTGCTTCGGCGTTCCACTTCATTTATGGAACAGGTCCAATTTCATTAAGATTGGAAGTTTATGGGGAGAAGTTTTGGAAGGAGAAGAAGGTATTCCTCAGTCTTTTGACTGCGGTAAGCTCAGGATCTTAACCACATGCATGGAGCCTATTAACAAGGTCATCCATTTGGAGGCTAATCAGTTTACTTACCCAGTGCGAGTCTTGGAAGACCAGTTAGCTGTGGCAAAATATTCCAAGCAGTACGGCAGTGGTTCGACACCTCAAGAAGTGGGGGAACATCACAGCTCTAATGAGGTTAGAGGCTCTAAGGAGATATTTGACTTCAACAGAGCTGCTGAGCCATCTCAGAACCAGCCATCTCAGAACCATGATGATGAGTTAACTCGGCACTCAGGAGGTGAGTTAGCTATGGGGAATGCTCAAACCAAGATGGAGGCCAGAGGAAAGAAGCCACGTGGGGATGTTAGTGCAGCAACGGCAGACAAAGGGGAACTTCGGGAAAGCGATACAGCAGTGGCAGAGACATGCAGCAGTATGGGTAAGGAACTCGAGACAGTGGCCTGCAAAGCAATGGCAGCTGTTAACTCAGCATTTAATGACACAAGGGCTGCTGCTCAGGGACATGATGGGCAGGTCTACACGCCTGGCTTTATGAGAAGTTTGAGTGGTGCAAGTCTTAAGGGGCCTGGGATAAGTTTGGAAGTGGTTCTGGGCCATCATAAGTTGAATGATGAATTGGTTGAACCTCTTAAAGGGTCCAATGGGCTGGTGTTATATGATGCCCATACAAAGGACATGGCAATGGATGTTGATTCATAAAGTTCTACGGCTATATTTGCAAAGTTTGCGAAATGACATATTTGTTTAGGCATTGTGTTGTTTTGTTCCAATGTGAATGGTATAACATCAGTAGGAGTAGAACTTTGCGGGTCGAACCACATTTCACTACTATTGATATACGAATTCGATGGTATAAAGATGACCCATTTGTGTTACCAAGTCAAGTGCAACAAGTTTTTTAGTGCATGATATGAAGTTAGGTGCCAATTGGAGAGTAGTAGAAAAGTTTCAACAGCGAAGAATTTGGGATGTGCCCGAGGTGGATGTGCCACAACCTGATGATGTGTTCCAACAAGATGAAAGCACTGATGTTGTACAAGAACCATATTTGGTGAAGAAGTAAGCTCTTCAATGGTCAAAAAATGAGCATCGGTCCAAACCTGTGGAGTTATTGGGAGAACAAATACTGCAGCAAATTGATTTGGGGACATACAGGCCGTATAGCAAGCATCCAAACAGCCGAAAAAGACAACAGAATGATAATCCACCTTCCAATTGGACAAAACGAAGCATTATGTTTAACCTACCCTATTGGAAAACGTTGAAGCTTCAACACAACCTGATGTCATGTACATAGAGAAGAATATATGTGACAATCTGGTTGGAACACTATTGAGCATTGATGGCAAGAACAAGGACACAGATAAAGCACGCTTGGATCTAAAAGACATGCGGATATGAAAGGAGTTACACTTGAAGAGGCATTCCAATGGCTCATTTAAGAAGCATCCGGCATCATACACATTGTCCCTAGTAGAGAGACAAGGTTTTTGTGATTTCTTAAAATCGATTAAGTACCCTAATGGCTATGCAGCAAATATATCCAACAGTGTCACCGCTCATGGTGGAAAATTAGCTGGCCTCAAAACTCATGACTGTCATGTCCTTCTACAACAACTACTTCCAATTGGGATGTGTAGATACCTTTCCAAGGAGATTGTGACCACACTTTTTGAGTTGGGAAATTTTTTCAAACAGTTGTGCTCGAAGACATTGAGGGTGACTAATTTGGAGAAAATGGAGGAACAAATCGTACTTATACTTTGTAAGCTTGAGAAGATTTTTCCTTCTGCATTTTTTGCACTACAACAAAATTGAATTTTTACGGCTTGCAATGCATGCCGTAAAAACTCTTTCACAGCATGCACACAAACGCTGTTATATGACATGCTGTGAAAAGTTGAGCATCATTTACGACATGTAGGTAAAGTTGTAAAAAGTAATAAATTAAACATTAATAACATACTTTGTATGTCGTATATAATTTTTTATGACATTTTTGTCATGCCATAAATCATCATACTTTCCGTAGCATAATTTTTCATGCCGTAGAAGGTTTATTTTTAATATATTTATGGCATATTTTGTATGCCATATATAATATTTTACGACATTTTCTTGCATGTCATAAATCATCACACTTTTCACGACATAATTTTGTATGACGTAGAATGTCATTTTTAATATATTTATGATGACATACTTTTTATGCTGTATATAATATTTTACGGCATTTTCTTGCATGTCATAAATCATTACACTTTTCATGACATAATTTTATATGCCCTAGAAGGTTATTTTTAATATATAATATATATACAAGAATATAACATTGCCTAACAGTATGTAGACAGTAGTTTATAAAATGCAACCTGTTAACAAACCAAGCAGAAGCAGCAACTATGAAGTAAGCAAAAAACATCTAATATCCATACACCAAATAACCTGCATACTAACTTTCATACTCAACTTCTATCATATTAAGCTGATAACAACCTCAAACATACAAATCAAAAAAGTATCTAAATCATAAGATTCACTAATCTCTAAAATACAACTTTAAACATCCAAAAAGTATAACTATAAATCGTAAATCAATTAGTGTAATATTTAGTCCAAAAGAATGAATTGACTAGGCCATGCAACTGTACTTCCTATTACATCTTGAAGATCATACATCTCATGAGTAGAACGAAACAACAACACGTTGACTGTTACGTGGTTCACCCATACTTTCCAACACAAAGGTCTAAGAGTCACATAATGCACCTTTGACTTGGGATCCCTTGATGCAATTTGGCCTTCTGCAACCACCAAGTTTGTCCCCTAACAATGCAACAACTTGAATTTGACATTCTCTAAGCTCGACACACCATTACTTTGATCCTACAAAAATTAAGAGTATATAAGCATACTGCATAACATTCATCCCATTTACCAAGTATTAGTTCAACAAAGGAAATGAAATTGTCAAAAAGCTTTAAGGAGAACTCACTTATATATGTCGTTGATGTCAAAAAAGAAAATTTCAACCTGATGAATACATATTTTGAGGTGGTCACACTTATGAGTCTACTCAACCTGATGAATTTATTAAAACTAAATGGACATTCTAATTCAAGTGGATCTCTAGTAAGTCTCTCAGTTCTTCACTAAAGAACACAATGAGATGATTTTGGAGTCCTCATTATGAGAGCTGTATTAAAATAAATAAATAAATAAATAAATAAAAAAACACAGATCTAAAAGTGTAAAAAAACTATAATTAAAAAACTGGAGAAAACAGGTTCTACCCAAGCAGATGAAATAGGTAGCCCACTCTTCTCTACTCTCTCTTTCTTTCTCAAAGAAAATGCCATTCACGTTTCAGTTGGATGAAAACCGTGCTAGAAAGCTATGTATGCTGGTGCAGGAGAAGAAATATATTACTACCTACCAAGACTATCGTATGTGGCACATAATTCTATGTCTTCTATCTCGATACATAAGATTATGCATCGAAGTTAACGTATTTCAAAATAGTCATCATTTCTTACAGTGAAGAATGCATTGAATTAGAGAATACAACCCTAAATGCAAAAAACACAATCGTGTTCTTTCTGAGACCATTGAGCTATTATCCAAAGAGCATCACAATTTTTTCTTGATTTCCTTACCCAATATACAGACTCTCTTGAAAGTAACAGCTAAAATTCATAATCCAAACTTAAGACAAAGCATTCTTACTATTTATTTCAGCTTTTGCCTTCTATTGCTTTGTCTAAAAATTTCTTCCTCCTAGCTATAGCATAGTTCTCAATGCTCAAAAAGTAATAACAATAATAAGATCAGCAGTACAGTTGAAACTACGTTTGGCTCTAGATAGGGGTTGAAATTGTATATAGCTCTACATTTTGAAGATTTGTGATTCTTTTCCTCATATTTATTGTCATTTACTATTACTACTACCAGTTATATTTGTTTAATTTTCAATGAATAGAGTACTAAAATTGGTTAAAGGATTGTTCTACCAAACCATGCTATTTTAATAACAGATCTTTCAAACTCAAACTAAAGCTATTTGGAATTTGTTTTCCAAACCCATGTTTTGAAAATATGATTTCACTAAAGTTTTGTTCTCAAACTATGACTTCAATCATAACAATTGAGACTTCTAAAAAGAGCATAACGTACCGTATCTAAAACAGTTAGAAGGTTTGCAATTGAAGAACCAGCACGTTTAGATAATTTCATAGCTTCAATGCCTTCAGTAACAGAACCAACTTCATTCACCTAAAAAACCATAAAAAACTTCATTAAGCATATAGCTACCACATAATTCCAACAATTAAAGACATGAAGAGTAGATAAAAATGTTCTGAAAATACTATTTTCACTTGCTGAAGTTGGAAGGTTGTCATGAGGAGTAGATTGGAGTAGATCAGAGCTTCTTTAGGAGGGATTGGTACCCTGCAATCAAAGAGAAACATGCAAGTGATTTAAATATAAAACAACAAATGATTTGAATCAAAATTTACTTGAATTAAATCATCAAACATTATATTATCATGTTTACCTTTTCCTCTTACATCATTTTGCCTTCTTTCTTTGATAAGCATGGCTCTTATCTTATTGAGTTGTTGTTCTAAGTCCAGCACCTTGCCTTCAAGTTTTCTCACGTGCTCATTTTGGTGTACTTGTGCATCAACCTTAGATGGTAAAGCCCCAAATCCCAGCTCTCGTACACTTCCACGATGCTCAGGACCAAAAGTATGAAAAATCGCATCATCTTTTATAGATTTTGGACACTCATCAGTAGAAGCCTTATGAAGTTCTTGAACCTTTTTCTAAAAGTATAAAGCATATCTTAATAAATTGATGTGAATGCAAATTATAATAAATAAAAAAAAATGAAGTAATACTGGTACCACAGTTGCATCAAGCACTTCATTCATGGATTTTCCTTCCTTCCTCATATGCCCTTTAATCCAAACATCAACTCTTGATATGGATGATGGTGCTCAACTTTCTCTTCTCTAGAAAATAAAATAGAAAATGAAAATCAACATGTTTAAAAACAATCTCATAGTAACCATATTTCATACCCAATTTACAAAACTACTTGAATTACTCTTAAATTTACCATTTCATCCTCTAATCGTGCATAACCTTTACGACTCATGGTGTGAAAGAGGGTTTGCTTTTGCCCTAAATCTTTTACTCTTTGCCTACATATACAAAAGAAGAATGTCATAATTTATATGATTAATAATTCATAATTGAATCACTATGAAAAAATTTGTTGGTCTAATTAGTTCATAAAAACTAGAGAGTTTCTATGAGGAAACTTACCTTTCCATTCAACCATTCTACATTATCAGGTTTGGTGAGGACAATATTGTGTGCTAGCTTAGCACTTTTACTACGAGGTCTTATTTTTCGTGATAGTTCAGATTTGTGTGAGCGCCATAATCTGCCAAACTTTTGCATGATGTATTCCCTATGGCAATCAAGTATTTTGAATCTAAGCTGCATTTGCATTTAAACAAAAATTTAGTGATTAGGAAAAAAACTTGAGTTGATAGTATAATATCAGGCCATCTCTCTATGGTTATTGGCACCATCTCTCGTGCCTAGATCCCTTCTTAAGTTGATAATTTAACTGATTTAGGTCCCATAGGCTGATTCCTTTCATTGAAGTCAATTTCATCACACTTTTGTTTTCCTTTGTCATGCATCTTTAATTTTGATGCCTCCCTAGTTTTCTTCTTTGGTACTTGAGTGGAGTCTACAACTCCTTCCATATCATGTGATTCAACATGTGGAGAAGTAGAACACTCATCTGAAATTCTAAATGATGCATTTCTTCTTTCATCCATTGTCGCAACAATTATAGCTTCACGCTCCTTTCTAATTCTTTTCTCAGCTTTTGTCGAACTTTGTGCAATACATAAGGAAAAATAAGAGATAATGTCGACAAAAATTGGTTATAAATTCAATTTTATGTTAAATGAGAAATAAAGTACCTCTCCACTCATCTTGTTAGTTGATAATTTCAAGATTCAACTATTAATAAGAAAATGGGCATTCACAATAACAATCAGATCAGCAACAATAAACCTGAGTCATTGTAGAAAAGAACAAATATCAATATCAGCCACCTCTGAACTTTGATTTTTGTTTGTGAACAAAATCTAAACACAATGTTTGTGAACAGAACTTTAATTCTAAACACACGATCTAAACACAATGTTTGTGAACAGAACTTTAATTCTAAACACACGATCTAAATACAATGTTTGTGTACTAAAAATGGGAATTTTTTCCCTTAGGCAAATGGTTCAACCTAAGACACCAAATACATGATTTAGCGTCAATATAATTTGAGAAGAATTTAACCCCTTAAATATTCTTCAACTCAATATTCTCAATATAATTTGAGAAGAATTTAAAAAACCACAAATTTCAAATCAAACATCAATACATACAACTTTACAAGCCAAAGAATAAATCTTTATAAGCCAAACAATAAATTCTTGATAATATTGATTTCAAAGACAACACAATATTCACCTTACAAGTATATTCACTCATATTAACTTCAAAGAAAATAGCTAGTGAAATTATATAGAAATAAAAAAATAAAAAGCATGACAAGTACAGGAGAACTAGTCAAGCCCAATGAGTATTCGGTTATATGAAAATCAAATGTACTTCTCAATAAGCATTCAATGGAAACACCGTTATTTTGTGTGGACCTTTGGACATCACTTGTATGAAAACGATGTCCATTAATGACATAACCCAAATAAGACGTTGCATGCTTTCTTGGGCCAGCTGCAAGCCATTTCAATGTATTTGAAACCTTATTACCACATGATTCAATCTTTGCTTTCAACCACTGAGAAAAAGTGTCCATTTGTCTGGAATGAAGTAAAGCGGCATCCCTTAAGAAACCACTGTCCAAAAGCTTAAGCTCCTCCGCGTGCATTCTAATACGGAAGGCGAATTGTGAGATAAATATATCATATAAACACCCAATTAATAATAGATATTTCTGTTATCATACTTACTCTGAATATGGTTGGACTTCATAATTGTTTATCAACACACAGTAATGAGCAATTTGTAACATATCATCAGGTACCATGATGGAATTCCCCAATGTAATCGGGCGTCTTAGTATTGTTTCATTTCATTGCGGTTATGTCAAGCACCTATTTTAGCTGCTGGCTTCATGTACCCACTACAAAATTGCATGCACTCTTCAGCTATATAGCATTCCGCTATACATTCCTCAGGTCTTGCACGATTCCTAACATATCCCTTAAGTATGTTCATATATCATGATTGCTTTCAAAAGTCGAGAAGCAGATCTATTGTTCTAGGTTACATGATTTAAAGTTGTCTGATGGTTATAGCTCCAATATTGCTAATTGTGTTTCATTAGAAGAGTGCAAGCTGATAGGCACAAGTCATATGATTGTCGCGTCCTGATGCAAGAGTTGTTGTCAGTAGCGTTGAGAGGGATTTTACCTCTAGGACAAGTTAATTATGAAATTTTGCTGTAAAGAAGTAACAACAATGTTGTTTTCTTCTGTGCTACTAACAACATTGTTTCCGGTGTCTACAACATCCACTTATGGTCATTGTTGATTGGATAAATCTAGAAACACCATCTCTTCTCCATTCTCTATCCTATTTAGAGATCTTGCAGTTTGGGGTATTTGATAAGAATAAAGTTCACCATCCTACAAAAAATCAAGAACTTCAATAGATTACTCTTCTCCCAGTTTTTCTCCAGAAGCGACCTTAAAACTTTTACAATGCTGCTTCATTGTTGCCAATAACGGAACAAAAGCAGTCCTCGAATCCCTACCTTCAGTGTAGTTTGGGGGCAAAAAGAATTCTAGCACGTAAACATTGTCTTCAATATAACTACTCCGCAAGCAAATTGCAAAAGAACCTGTAAGTCCAAATTTGCGTGTGTAGTGTATGGAAAGGTACTCAGTTATGCTAAATTTGGAGTACATTTTCGCACACTACACATGCAAATTTGGACTTATAGGTTCTTTTGCAATTTGGTTGCGGAGTAGTTATATTGAAGACAATGTTTACGTGCTAGAATTGTTTTTGCCCCCAAATTACACTGAAGGTAGGGATCTGAAGACTGGTTTGGTCTGTTATTGACAACAATGAAGTAGCATTGTAAAAGTTTTAAGGTCGCTTCTGAAGAAAAACTAGGAGAAGAGTTATCTATTGAAGTTCTTGATTTTTTAGAGGATGGTGAACTTTATTCTTATCAAATATCCCAAACTACAAGATCTTCAAATAGGATGGAGAATGGAGAAGAGATGGTGTTTCTAGATTTATCCAATCAACAATTACTAGAAGTGGATGCTGTAGACAACGAAAACAATGTTGTTAGTAGCACAGAAGAAAACAACATTGTTGTTACATCTGTACAGCAAAATTGCATAACTAACTAATCCCAGAGGCTACAAAGAAAAGCTAGAATTCCAATTAGCTTGGAGGAATGCCACGTTAATTGCTTTCAAAAGTCGAGAAACAGATCTTTTGTTCTAGGTTAGATGATTTAAAGTTGCCTGATGGTTATAGCTCCAATATTGCTAATTGTGTTTCATTAGAAGAGTGCAAGCTGATAGGCCTCAAGTCATATGACTGTCACGTCCAGATGCAAGAGTTGTTGTCAGTAGCGTTGAGAGGAATTTTACCTTTGGGACAAGTTAATTATGAAATTTTGCTGTAAAGAAGTAACTACAATGTTGTTTTCTTCGGTGCTACTAACAACATTGTTTCCGGTGTCTACAGCATCCACTTATGGTAATTGTTGATTGGATAAATCTAGAAACACCATCTCTTCTCCATTCTCTATCCTATTTAGAGATCTTGCAGTTTGGGGTATTTGATAAGAATAAAGTTCACCATCATCTAAAAAATCAAGAACTTCAATAGATTACTCTTCTCCTAGTTTTTCCCCAGAAGCAACCTTAAAACTTTTACAATGCTGCTTCATTGTTGTCAATAACGGAACAAAAGCAGTCCTCGAATCCCTACCTTCAGTGTAGTTTGGGGGCATAAAGAATTCCAGCACGTAAACATTGTCTTCAATATAACTACTCCGCAACCAAATTGCAAAAGAACCTGTAATTCCAAATTTGCGTGTGTAGTGTGTGGAAGGGTACTCAGTTATGTTAAATTTGGAGTACCCTTTCGCACACTACACATGCAAATTTGGACTTATAGTTTCTTTTGCAATTTGGTTGCAGAGTAGTTATATTGAAGACAATGTTTACGTGCTAGAATTGTTTTTGCCCCCAAATTACACTAAAGGTAGGGATCCGAAGACTGGTTTGGTTCTGTTATTGACAACAATGAAGTAGCATTGTAAAAGTTTTAAGGTCGCTTCTGAAGAAAAACAAGGAGAAGAGTTATCAATTGAAGTTCTTGATTTTTCAGAGGATGGTGAACTTTATTCTTATCAAATACCCCAAACTGCAAGATCTCCAAATAGGATGGAGAATGGAGAAGAGATAGTGTTTCTAGATTTATACAATCAACAATTACTAGAAGTGGATGCTGTAGACACCGGAAACAATGTTGTTAGTAGCACAGAAGATAACAACATTGTTGTTACTTCTGTACAGCAAAATTGCATAACTAACTAATCCCAAAGGCTACAAAGAAAAGCTGGAATTCCAATTAGCTTGGAGGAATGCCACGTTAACTGCTTTCAAAAGTCGAGAAGCAGATCTTTTGTTCTAGGTTACATGATTTAAAGTTGCCTAATGGTTATAGCTCCAATATTGCTAATTGTGTTTCATTAGAAGAGTGCAAGCTGATAGGCCTCAAGTCATATGACTGTCACGTCCTGATGCAAGAGTGGTTGTCAGTAGCGTTGAGAGGACTTTTACCTCTGGGACAAGTTAATTATGAAATTTTGCTGTAAAGAAGTAACAACAATGTTGTTTTCTTCGGTGCTACTAACAACATTGTTTCCGGTGTCTCTATCATCCACTTATGGTAATTGTTGATTGGATAAATCTAGAAACACCATCTCTTCTCTATTCTCTATCCTATTTAGAGACCTTGCAGTTTGGGGTATTTGATAAGAATAAAGTTCACCATCCTCTAAAAAATCAAGAACTTCAATAGATTACTCTTCTCCTAGTTTTTTTCCGAGAAGC